AGAAAATATGGTACATTCACACAATAGAGTGCTACATAGCAGAAAAAAGTAATGATATCTTGAAATTCGCAGGCAAATGAATGGATCTAGAAAACATCATATTGACTGATGTAACCCAGACCCAGAAAGACAAATACCATATATACTTAAATGGCCTTTAGACATAAAGCATTTCACAACAATTCACAACCCCAGAGAACCTAGATAACAAAGAGGACCCTAAGAGAGACTTACGTGGTTCTATTCTACATGGGAAGTAGAAAAATACAAAATCTCATAAATAAATTGTGAGCATGATGATAATATGAGAGGACAGAAGGGAAGGGGAGATGAATGCAAGGAAATGGAGAAAAATATATAGCTCAATAAAAAATGATTTTAACAGATTGGATGGTATTTTGTATTAATAGTAATATGAGATTCTAGGGACATGTCAGTGGTCATGTCAGGGGAGCAGCAGATGGCAATTGACTTTAGGGAAATGGCCCACCAGGAAACAAAACCCTGATGGATGACTCTCGAATAGATAAGACCCTAAAATCCTTGGCCCCAGAATGTTTCTTGCTGATGTGTATCTTTGTATGTTTGCCATTGCCACTTTTCTTGGTATCTGGAATTATATAAATGGGCACGGGAAGATTCCCACTACCCTTAATGCAGCATGATCATCTCTTAGAAATATCCCATTCTACTGAATGTTTTTACCTGTAGATTGCTATGAAGACAATTTCCTCCTAAGTTGTACAGTTTAACTGAAGTCATGATTTTATACAATAATAGTGCTATTTTCAATAGAATTTTGATGATTGATGTTTTTAGTAGATATAGTAAGAAATTATGATAAAGGTTAGTTTGGTGGGAAAATTAACATGGGTAAAGATAGGATAAAATGCTATCTGGGCCTCTGATGAAGAAGAGGATGCAGAGAATTAAAATAAAACAAGAAAGTGTCACATAGCTAGAACACATGAGTTTCTATTGAGGAAACAGGTAAACTGTGGCTTAGGTTAACATTAATAAAACTGATTGAGTCACAGTAGCCTAGCTAGTTTAAATTCTTCTTAATATTGGGAAATGTGTTCATAGGTTGCAGAGTACATTATAGCTAAAACAAAGCTTGTCAATCTGAGGATTCAAATAGAGCCAATTGGTTCTTTTTATATACAAGTTTAGATTTATGATTCTTATAAGATTGCTTTTGAGATAAGTATTAAAGTGATTGATCCTTTCCTTGTAACTGCAAAATGCAGTGTAACAGCAAAAGAACAAAATTCAAAGACCAACTATACAAATAATGTGAGAGTAAAATTTTTAACAAGATTTAAACTTCCTGGTTTATGACATTAGTTATCAAATGGCATGCTTTCATAATGCAATGCTGAGAGATATAGGGTAGACATGCTGCTCTAATCAGAAAAATTAAGCATTTGGAAAGATAAAGTGACCCCATGTTCAAGCATTGACAAGAAAAACACATCAAAGCATAATGGGGAAAATGTTTTGTAACCTAAACACATTAAGGCAGTCACTGTGCCCACCTCCCAAAAACAGAAAAAAGAATATCTGCTACTCTTCCAAGAAGGGGCTGTACAGAATTTACATGAGACACTGAGGTTTGAGGACTCTTTGTTACAGTCCTATGTTGGATAAGTTATAGAGACTCAATTCTATGAGGACTGGGCTTTGTTGTTTCTAAGCATTCTGAGTGTTTACAAGCATTAAGCACACTTTAGAATATTAATTTTACTTCGGAATTTTGTTAGGACTTTTATTGTAAATGCTTATAATTTTTTCTTCTCTTTCTTATTTAAATTGTAGAGTCCCTAGAAGTTGGTCATCAAACAGCTATAGAGACTTTCCAGGTTGTGATTGACAACCTGGAAAAAAGGAGCTGTCATCCTAGGAGCAACTCAACTATCAAACAAAATCCCTTAATGGCAGTTTAACTTATTAGAACAATATTTTGTGATCACTCTGAGAATAATAGTTCAGGTCCAAGACCTACTGCAACTGAATTCACGATTCTTCACCAGGAAGTCTTTGCTCAGTGACCACCACTGAAGATGTCTGCACTGTCCTCAGAAGGCAGATTCTTAAGCAACATATGACTTACAGGCAGAAAAATGAAGGCAAAACAGTGGTTAGGTATCATGTTCCTCAGACACAAAAAGTATTCTTTTCTTTAGAATAGCAAATTCAAACTTTTTTGGATGCCAAGCATCCAGATACTCTAAAGCTAAGAGCTGTGATGCTAGCTGGCCCTAATTGCTGTTCTATCTAACTTCTGTTTAGAGTTAGTGTTTCATATTTTTATTTTTAATTAAATATCACTCCCCTTTTATCTTTCTTTCTTGGGCCTCCCATGTACCCCTTTTCATATTGATAGCTATCTTTTTGTTATTAGTATTTTATATATAGTATATATTATATTTTATATATTTTTCACATATTACATGGACAAATACACAAATACAGTCTATTGAATCCATTTTTGATGCTTGTGAATATATGGTTTCAGGTTTGACAGCTTTCTATTGGATAACCAGTTATGGGGCTAATCCCTGGGAGAGGCTCATTCTGCCTTTCTCTGCAGTTGTTAGTTGTTGTTCTTTGACTCGGGAAGACTGCTATGGGATTTCCCCCTTCCATGTCAGCATGTCTATTGATATTGCCATTGTTAAGTCTTGCTAATGCAGTCATTTCTGAATTAATTATAAAAGGGAAATTGAGACTTCATCAACTAGCAGGTATAGACCCACCAGAGATCATAGTGCCTTTTACTCCTGATGGAATTAAAAAGTTATGGGATGACAGTGAACCCCGGCAAAGAGCTTGTGCTAATTTGCTGGGAGAAATTTATAGCAATTATCCCCAAAGCAACAGAATTAGCCTTATAAAGAGAACTACTTGGATTCTTCCCCAAATTGTAATGCGACACACCAATAACCGGAACCAGTACATTTTATACTGATGCAAATAAATCAGGAAAGGAAGGTTAAAACTCAGAAAAATTAAGTAAGGTGAAACAAAGTCTTATAATTCTTCCAACAAGCAGAGTTATGTGCTATTCTCATAGTACTATGGGATTTTTTTATTTTTTCAAGGTTTTCTGTTTTTATTGATTTTATTGAGCTATACATTTTTCTCTACTCACCTCTCTTCCTCTCCCCTCCCCTTCTACCCTCTCCCATGTTCTCCATGCTCCCAATTTACTCAGGAGATCTTATCTTTTTCTAATTCCCAAGCAGATTAGATCCATGTATGTCTCCCTTAGGGTCCTCATTGTTGTTTAGGTTCTCTGGAACTGTGAATTGTAGGCTTTTTTTTTTTTTTTTACTTTTTGTCTAAAATTCACTTATAAATGAGTGCATATGGCATTTGTCTTTCTAGGTCTTGGTTACCTTAGTCAATATGATGTTTTCTAGATCCATCCATTTGCCTACAAATTTCAAGATGTCATTTTTTTCTGCTGTGTAGTATACCATTGTATAAATATACAATATTTTCCATATCCATTCTTTGGTGAGGGGCATTTTCATAGTCAGGTTCAGGCTATGAAAAACATTGCAGCTATAAACATAGTTGAGCATACATCCTTTTGGTAACATTGAACATGCTTTGGGTATATACCCAAAAGTGGTATTGCTGGGTCTTGAGAAAGGTTGTTTCCTAATTTTCTGAGAAATAACCATACTGATATCCAAAGGGGATGTACCCATTTGCACTCCCACCAGCAATGGAGGAGTGTTCCCTTTACCTCACAACCTGTTCAGCATAAGTTGTCATCAGCGTTTTTGATCTTGGCCATTCTTACAGGTGTAAGATGGAATCTGAGAGTTGTTTTGATTTGCATTTCTCTGATTAATAAGATCATTCATGTAAACTATCACATCAGCAAATAGTGAGAGTTTGACTTCTACTTTTCTAATTTGTATCCCCTTGCTCTCCTTTTGTTGTCTTATTGCTCTAGCTAGGACCTCAAGAATTATATTGGATAAATATGGAGAGAATGGACAACCTTGTCTTGTTCCAAATTTTAATGAGATTGTTTTGAGTTTCTCTCCATAGAACCTTTGTCCAGTGACAGATGGAGATAGAGACAGAGACCCACATTGGAGCTGGACTGAGCTCCCAAGGTCCAGTTGAAGAGCAGACGAAGGAAGAAGATGACCAAGGAAGTCAGGACCACGAGGGGTTTGTCCTCCCACTGAGACAGTGTGTCTGAATTAATGGGAGCTCACCAAAGCCAGCTGGACTGGGACTGAACTGAGCATAGGATCAAAATAGACCCTCTAAATGTGGCTGACAATTATGACAGACTGAGAATCCAATGATAATAGCACTGGGATTAGTCTCTACTGCATGTACTGGCTTTTTGGGATCCTAGTCTATTTGGATGCATACCTTCCTAAGCCTGGATGGAGGGGGGAGTGCCTTGGACTTCCCGCAGGGCAGGGTACCCTGCACTCCCTTAGGACTAAAGGTGGGGAGGGTGAGTGGAGGAGCAGGAGGGAAATGGGAGGAGGGGAGGAAGTGGAAATTTTGAATGGTATTATATATAAAGCAATAAAAAAATGAAAAAAATTAAGAACTAAAAAAAGAACCTCTCAATATAGTTAATGATTGATGATAAACAGAAAGAGTTGTTTTGCATATAGAAATTGCTGAATTTATACCAAATGATACAGAATTGACTTCATTATTCATTAGAACACACATTCGTTACTTGTAGGAGTGCAAATTTGTTTAGTCACTATGGAAATCAGTGGGTTAATTCCTCAGAAAGATAGCAATTAATCTACTTCAAGCTCATGCTATACAACCTGTGATGGTTATTCTTAGCTTTCAGCTATATCTGCACTGTTAGAAGTCAGCTGATCTCCTCCCACGTGTCACAGCCTGCTATTTAATTTGGAAGGCAGTGGAGTAACTCCCATTACTTAATGCCCTCTGAAGGACAACAACAAGCAGAGCCAACTAACCCTGAAAAGTGACAGAAGATGAACTCCAAATGTCAAAATATTGAACTGAATGATGGCCACTTCATACCTGTGCTGGGCTTTGGAACTGCTGTACCTGAAGAGGTAAAAGCAGTGATGCTGGGTGCTGAGGGTTTAGAAGAAATAGAACCAGAATAAATGTAAAGCTATATGACTATATCTTCCTGGTAATGCTGGGTTCCTGGATGCTTACTCACCCAGGCTACAGCTATGTGCTGTAAGAGAGAAAGATTTCTCAGAGACAGAGTGTGGTCACTGGTTGCCCGATGATTAACCTGGAGCCATGCTTCCTGTTGTTAATGTCCATTCATTTCTGCTTCACTACCTGAAAATGAAGATTATAGAATCTTTAAATGTTTATTTACAATGTATTTCACCTTTTGGGAAAAATCTGCACAGATAGGCTACCCATTCAAGAAATGGATTATGTGGTTTTTACTAGTTTTGAATTATCCACACAATTTCAACACTAGTGCTTTGTGAGTAGAATGGTTCCTCGTTTTCTACAGATTCTCTCTTTCATTGAGTGACTGTTACCTTTTAATTACAGGGTATGGGCTTTTAGGTATAGAAGGCTCAAATTTTTTTTCTTTTTGTCCTTTCCCTTCTCTCCTCTTCTTTTCTGTTCTCTTATTCCCCCCTCCCTCTCTCTCCCCTCCCTTCTCTCTGTGTGCGCACGCGTGTGTGCATGTGTGTGTGTGTTCATATTTGCCATGGATCAATTGTGGAGGACAGAGATCAATAGACTTAAGTCACTTCTCTTCCACCTTGTGAATCTCAGGGATTTAAAAAAGTCATCAGAATTGTTGATAGTGCTTAACCTGTTGAATAATTTCAATGTAATAACATGTTTTTGAAGTGTCCAAAGGACAATGATAAAGAACAATGACAAGAGTTGTTAAAATTGTGGAGGATTTAGGCATTTCTTAGATTCTAATCTCCTTCGATCTTTTAGTACCTATTATTCCTTTAAAAACGGCGGCGGGGCGGCGTGGGTGTGTGGACAAACACAGGATAGACGGACGCAAAGGAAGAGACGGACACGCGGCTCCCACGTGGGTGTGTTTTAATGGGGAGAGGGGAACACAGTAAGGGGGGACGTGCAAGGGTAGGGGGGAAAAGGGCCAAGAGGGGGGCCAAGAGGAGGGAAACCTCGTGGACCTTCGCTTTTAACGGGGGGCGCAAGGTTATCTGGGAGGAATGGCCTTCACCTGGGCGTGGCCAGCACGCACACAGGTGATGGTAATCCAGGAGAAGTCTGGGAGCTGTAGTTTCCAAGGAATAACACCAACCCCACAGTGCCTCCCTTAATTAAGATATCTTTTTCCCTGCTCCTATATCTGTCCTTCCTCCATCTCATCCATCCCACTCTTCCAAGCTCTCCCCAATCCTTCCCTTCTTTCTTTTCTCTCTCTCCCCCTTTTTCCTTCCCCCACCCCACCTGCACTTCCTATAAGTTTCAAGGAAATAGAAGCTGTTGTCAAAAACCTCCCAACCAAAAATAAATAAATAAACAAATAAAAATTAAAAAAAAGGACAAGATTGTTTTAGTGAAGAATTCTACTAGACCTTCCAAGAAGAGCTAATAACTATACTCCTTAATGTGTTCCACATAAAAGAAACAGAAGAATCATTGCCAAACTCTTTTTATGAAGCTACAGTTACCCTGATACCAAAACCACACAAAGACTCAGCTAAGAAAGAGAATTACAGACCAATCTTAATCATGAACATCGATGTAAAAATTCCCAATAAAATACTGGCAAACCAAATCCAAGAACATATAAAAACAATCATCTATTATGATCAAGTAGGCTTCATCCCAAAGAAAGTTTTACTTGATGCCAGAAAAGGAGATTCTCAAGCTTTGCCCACACTGTCATCATGACATGGGACCCACTTACTCAGTATCTGAAGTTCACAGGACTCAGATGATGCCTTTTCAGCTCTGTTTTTTCTAGCCAAGGATAGGGAAGAGGACAGACTGAGAAGGCAGTTGTTTCTCTTAAATTGTCTATTTTTGCTTTCTTTTGTTTTTTTGAAACTGCAACGTTCTGTTAGATTTTTGTGGTCATCAGTTATTTAGGGAAAGAGTCAGTTCTTTTTCTTCTGAAATCACTGAATAGCTGAATTCTTGGAACATAGAACTCAGTTTTATGGACTTGGCTTGGAGCTGGGGAACATTTGCTTACACAACATTTAATGTTTATGTCCATTGAAGCATATTCCCTGGGTAATTTTTTTAAATATTCTTATGATTCCCTGTTTAAGTCCTGGATCCTAGGTGCTAGTAGTGGTGATGACTAAACTGTGGTTTTCAAGAATAGAAGTTCTCAGAATGCTTTTCCCTTGTTACTACATAGACAAATGTTACAATTAACTTAGATGGAGTCCTTACAACATAAGATATGTGGAAATGTTGATACCAGAACAGGTCACATTTTATGCCTGAATACTTTCTGATACATGCATGTCTAACTGTAAATGGTACCTTTTGTTCTTCCTCAGTTTCCCAAAAGTAAGATTAAGGAGATCATCAAAATAGCTATAGATGTTGGCTTCCGTCATTTTGATTCTGCTTCTGTTTATAAAACTGAAGATTATGTGGGAGAGGTCATCCGAAGCAAGATTGCTGATGGCACTGTGAGGAGAGAAGATATATTTCTGACATCCAAGGTACTGTTTATATAATGTACCTGCAAATGAACCATAATATTTGGACAGAGGTTCACATGACTACATCAATAATTATTAGTGAATTGTACTTACTGTTTTATCTTTGTGCTTACAGTGGATAGTGTTTATCGACAGGGAATGGTTGGCTCATTATTGCTGTCTTTAGATTCATGAATATGATTTGATGGCTCTTACTTCATCATCTCGGTTTATAGGACTATGATGTAAACTGGATTATGGAAGACTTTCAGGAACTTTGCTTATCTCCTGGATAGCTTTTTAGCAGTTCTAATTGCTCTGAATATTTTAGATACTTTTAGTAATATGAGAAAATAAGATTAGATTTTGGTTGTTAAGCAAGACGTAACTAATCTAGTATATAACAAAATGTTGAAAATATTTTCTCTATGGTTATGTAAATTAAAAATGCATATACAGAGAGTGACAGAGATAAGCACACAAGAATGACATTAAGCCTCCATATGTGTATACTGAATAAGCAAAACAGTACACACATGTAGATATTTTCACCAGTAACTATTTCATATTGAGTTGACTGAGTAAGAATATTAGACTCTCATTGTGAATTTTAAATCCAGTGAAAGATAATATTGATGGTGAACATTGTTATTGCTTGACTATAATATTGTGTCTTGATTAATTTCCAAGATTAATTCATGGTAAACATAGGAGATGCACACGGCTAGATCAGACTAAAAGACGTTTGGGAAGAAGTGCAATATTCCTACTGATCACATCAATTTAAAATTAGTAGAAAAAAAGTCTGTTTCAGGTAAAGTAAATGAAAAATTCCTAGAATATATTAATTCAATCTGAATTCCACCTTCTACTGTAGGTTTGGTGTAATTGTCTTCGCCCAGAACTGGTGAGATCTTCCTTGGAACAGTCATTGAAGAAATTTCAGTTGGACTATGTGGACCTTTACCTCATGCATTTCCCAGTGGCCCTGAAAGTATGTTTTATGAATATACAAAAATATTTATTTAGAGTAGTTTGTAGTTGTGATGGTGGTAGGATTCAGAGAAATAGAGGGTTTTCTATGAGATTGTATTTTCTAGAGATACCAGGGAATCTAGAGATACCCATGAAGTCTTACCAACGTGCTGATTAAGTAGACCCAAACAAGGACCAGTAGACGTGTTAATGTGGAAGGGGAAAATCTCATGAGGCCGCAACACTAGACAAGGAACTATGGGCAGCTAATGAATTGAAGTAAGGAAAAATAGTTATCTACAATGTGGAAAGCCCCAAAAATTTATAAAAGTCTAGAGGACAGCCCATAGTGACTCAGAGATGTGATATTTAGGAACACATATAATAGGCATGAGAAAATAGAATCTTACCACCTAAGGACATTTTATATAACTCAACATTCAAAATACATGACAAATATAATTACATTAAATATGACACATCTGTAATATGGAGTTTTAATTCTCAGCATTCCCTTTCCCTAGAAACATGGCTACTGGTAGAAAACATGCCTTTTTTGAGATGTTACTTTAACTTTTGCTTCTGTTCCAGCCAGGAGAAGATTTCCCAGTAGATGAACATGGAAAATTAATATTTGACACAGTGGATCTCTGTGCCACATGGGAAGTAAGTACTAGAAAGAGAGAGCACATGAGGGAATGCAGGGAAAGAAAACGTCAGGCTACTGTTTCATTCATGAGAGTAGGGTGTGTCTTCTCTGTCAAAAAGTGATGTTATGTCCAAGGAATGTTTTGTTTAAGAGCTGGGATAGCATGCATGACTTTAACATAATAGAATCAAAGGGTTATACAACCACATAAAATACTTTGTGACTTTATTTTCTGCTTTAGGCCTTGGAGAAGTGTAAGGATGCAGGACTGACCAAGTCCATCGGAGTGTCCAACTTTAGCCACAGGCAGCTGGAGATGATCCTGAACAAGCCAGGGCTCAAATACAAGCCTGTGTGTAATGAGGTGGGGATCCTCAGCCTCTTGTTCTCCATCTCCTGCTTCCCTTGTTGCCACTGATTAATAGGTATTGGTTTCAGCATTCATTTTATATGTGGAGCAACACAAGCTAATGCCAGAGTGTTTACAGATAGGATATTTACGACAGTTGGTTTTGTTTTTCTCTGTGAAGCCTTCATGGTTCTGGCTATTACAAATAGTGCTGCTATGAATATAGTTGAACAAATGCTTTTGTAGTATGATTGGGCAACACTTGGGTATATTCCCAAGAGTGGAGTTGCTGAATACTGAGGTAGGTTGACTTCCAGTTTCCTGAGAAACCACCACACTGATTTCCAAAGTGGTTGCATAAGTTTGCATTCCCACCAGCAATGGATAAGTGTTTCTCTTACTCCACATCCTCTCCAGCATAGGTTATCATTGGTGTTTTTGATTTTAGACATTCTGACACATGTAAGATGGTATCTCAAAGTTGTTTTGATTTGCATTTCCCTGATTGCTAAGGAAGGAAATCAGGACTGCAAGGGGTTTGTCCACCCACTGAGACGGTGTGACTGACCTACGGGGAGCTCATGAAGGCCAGCTGGAATGACACTGAATGAGCATGTGATCAAACCAGACTCTCTGAATGTGCCTGACAATGGGGGCTGACTGAGAAGCCAATGATAATGGCACTGGGATTTGATTTTACCGCATGTACTGGCTTTTTGGGTCCTAGTCTGTTTGGATACACACCTTCCTAGGCCTGGATGGAGGGGGGAGTGCCTTGGACTTCCCACAGGGCAGGGTACCCTACCCTCTCTTAGGACTGAAGGGGGAGGGTGAGTGGGGGAGGGGGGAGGGGGAGCGAAATGGGAGGAGGGGAGGAGGTGGAAATTTTGAAGGGCATTATTTATAAATCAAAAAAATAAAATGTTTGAATTTTAAAAAAGAAAATGTATATATGTTCCTTGGTTAAAGTCCCCCAATTATTGTTTATTGTTTCGTTTTCCAACTCTCATGCTGCAGAACCTTTTTACTTCCCAGGCAGTAACTTTTATTTTCATGTTTTTAATAATCCACTGCAATTAATCAAGGTTTCTTGTACCAGAATGGGTAGGGTGCTATATGCTTAAGTCTTGGTGTTGTTATAGTCAATTCATAATTTATTACACAAGTTTTCCAAATTGAGTTTATTGTATTTTAACACTTTTCTTTGTATCAATGTGGGATTTTATGTATTATGGTATCTTTATTCATTCATCCGCAGGTAGAATGCCATCCTTATCTCAACCAAATGAAACTTCTTGATTTCTGCAAGTCAAATAATATTGTACTGGTTGCCTATGGTGTCCTGGGAACACAACGATATACAGGATGGTAATGAGGTCATTAAAAATTAAACATATATTAACAATTGTGCTGGCATACCTTTAGTCCCATAATTCTAAATTCAAACTCATGCAATCTAGTAGCAGGAATAATTAATTTTCATTTTTTATAGAATGAAAAATGGTATTAATGTTACTGGTACAGGAACACACTTGAGAAGCCCCAATACCTTCATGTATATTTGAAACTTCTTTACATGTTATAGATTGAGGGATTTAGCCTTGCTGTATTTCATTTCAGGGTGGACCCGAGCTCCCCTGTTCTCTTGGATGAACCAGTTCTTCATTCCATGGCAAAGAAATACAATCAAACTCCAGCCTTGATTGCCCTTCGCTACCAGTTACAGCGTGGGCTTGTGGCCCTCAGTAGCACTCTCACAGAAAAGCGAGTCAAAGAGAACATCCAGGTGCTGAGTTAGACTGTGAGCTTCAAAATTGTCCACACTGATTCACCCCGATTCACCCCAATGTACTTCTTTGGCAACTCTTGATTCTATATCACCCTAGTCCTTCTATTTGCTTTCCCATGCCCTTGTATCTTATGTATATTTGAAGGGTTTCTCCTTATCTGTAATAATACTACAGTTTTTGCTGCAATATAGAATTGAATTAGGTTCAAGACAGATTTTTCTTCTCAGCATTGCAATGGCAATACACCTATTAACCTTAAGTGAATGAAATGTTCCTTTGTCTTCTGAAATGAAATGGACTTAGTCTAGATAATGGGTCTTCAAATTATTTATGTTCTATTTTGTAGTTTCCTTGTACACACATTTATTTTAACACGCAGGCATTTATCTTCTTTAAATTTAATTTTGTCACCTTTCAAATCCCGTAGAGAGTGTCGGAGCCCGTTTGGGTCCAACACAAACTCCCTAACTTGGCTGGAACGGAGTCGCGAGGAATAATCAGACACAATTTACACGGTCATCTTGGAAAAGGCCAGACCCCCCCCCCCCCCGTTTATTGTCCCAACATCTTATATATCCATCCCAAATGAGCGGGAGCATACAAAGGCTGTTGCCTGGGCAACCAGGTGCCTGGGCTTTAGTCATGTCTAGCAGTCAGGTAGGCCCTGAATTAGCATCTCTATAAGATAACCTTCAAATTGCATAAGGAAAGAGACCCCAAACATCCTGACCAGTTTCAGTCAACACCTCTTCTCAGGTAATTCACACTTTAACAAAGGAAGCTAGGAGCAAGGCATCCTGGCTTTTGTTAAGGGCAGACAGCTTGTCTGCAGAGCTATGTATCAGCTCAAACCGGGGCAATGGCTTTTGTGGCATATCAGAATATGCGCCCACAAGAGAGTAGCTTTCTTTTCAAATAGGTCATCATTCATTTTGATTATGAATAATTGTATGAGTTTAAGAATCAACCATTTCAATGCATGGGCTCCATATATGAAACAGTCATGCAACTGTTCTTTATAAGGACTTCATATATAAAACGTTTATGTAAGCAATTTTTCTGCCGTTAGATTTTTTGTGTGTCTCCTCTGACCTCAAAGAGACTTTCTGTGCTGGGATGTGTTCTGTCACGTCGGGTCTTAGATTGCATTGTTTGCAGTGGAGCCTATCTCATCAGTATGAAGTTCCTTGGTCTCTCTTCCACATAGTTTTCTATCTCTGTTCTTAATAGTTCTTAATTCTTCTTTCAACCAGCCTTTGCTTTACTATTTTGCACAACTCCAACTTAGTTCCTGACTTCTCAGAAAGGGCTTTCATGTATGAGTGTGTTCTAATCTAGACAAAGAATACCATTACTTCTGGCATCTTCAACTGGCAAAGTGCGCTACAACCAGGGAAGTATCAAGACATGGGAAAACTTCTTCCATATCCTAGTACAAGTGGCTCAATATTCACAAAATAGAGTAGGCACTGGAAGACTTGAAAAAGACATTCTTATAATTTTTGTAGATTTTAATTAAAATGTAATCACACCACTTTCCTTCTTCCTTTTTCTTTCTCCATCTGCTTTTGGGTTCTCCACCTCTACTTCTCCCATGTCTCTCCACTATCAAATTGATAGGCCCTTATTTCCAAATTGTTATTGTTACATATATCTGTATTTATATGTTTTCATGTACCATTGTATAAATTAAACATGCTGACTCCATTTTTGTTGATGGTACATATATAGCTTCAGAGCAGATCACTTTGTATTGGACAACAAGTTAGGAGGATCATCCCTGGAAGAGGCTCCCTCTTCCTCTGGCATTATATTCTTATTGTGAATCCATTAACTATGTTTATGTATTCTGGAAACCCATTGGTCTCAGTTTCTGAAGTGAATTTTGAAGCTTTTACTAAAAAAATGCTGTACTTTTCAAATTTTCATAAGTAACATAAGCAGAAATGCCTTCTCTATATATTAAGATTCTTCATTACTTTCTATTTGGTTGATTGATGTTCCTGTGTGCAACTCACCCATATTCTTCTCTATTATTTTGAAGATATCATCCACTGTTCTTTCCATCTCTATATTCCACCAAAATTACCCTTTTGCAATTTCAAGTGTTAACCAAAACATATGCAGAATTTAAAAATGGATAATAAGATTCACCATCTATGACTATGTATCTGTCCTCATCCTTGTGGTCAATTAACATATTTTTGGTAGTGAAAATTTAGTTTGGCTATCTCAAATGAAAGTGTTTCTTATTTCTCCCCTTACTTAAACACAGCTTGATGATTTGTTGTTTTTTTTCATTTCCTTATTTTTGTTGTGATTTTGTCTTTGTTTTCTGATAAATATGTGCCTACATCCTGCACAAGAGACTCTAGCTATACAATTGCTTTCGTGAATGAATGCTGTTCCCTTGTGGTGTTAAAGTTAGAGAAAAAAATGTTTTAAAAAATTAAAACATCTAAGGAAGTTAAGTTTATTGTGTTTTATATGTCAAGGGAGTTTTCTGAAGTTTGGGTTGAGTTTGGTTTTGTGGATGATTTTGTATTTCCTAAAGGCAGTTTACTTTGAGATTATCATTTTTGAAGTAGTCTGGCCTTAAACTAGCAATTTAGTTGAAAATGACCAAGAACTTCTAGGTTTTGCCTTTTACAATCCAAGTGGTGGTTTTATAGATAGGTGTCATCACACCTGGCTTGCCTTGGTTATTTATGTTTTTTTTTCTGTAATCAAAAGTTTATAATCCACGTTCTAACTCCCAACCAGAGTATTAAGTTGGTATTTGTTTTCACATCTGTTCATTATTTTGGAGACTAAGAGGTTTTTGCAGTACTGTTCTGTCCAAACCATGATCATTTTATTGGAATTTGCAGTTACATAGATGGCATTTTATGTACTTCCATAATTTTCTTAATAAGTAACTGCTTATATTCACGTAATTTTGTGAATTTCTTGATATTGCATTTTTGTTTCATCAACTTTGAAATATTCAGGATATCTTGCATTTATTCCGTCAATTACATGACTAAGTTGCTGTATGATTGATATTTTTATTCTCTAATTCTTTCGTGGTGTTGATTTTCAGATCAAAGCAATAATTTATGAATCCATTTGTTTACATACATTAATAGTTATGATCATCTTGTTGATTAAACTGCCCAAACTGTAGTAAAGATGATCACCTTGAGACCAGTTCTTAACTCATTTATAAAACATCATTTATAATAGAATATCCATTTAAGCTATATTCAAACTAGCATTCTTATATTTGATTGCCTTTTTTTTTTCAGTGTGGAAATAAAACTATCAAATGATAGCAACTGAATTATGTTAAACATTTAGAAAATTGTACTTCTAGTTTAGATAATCTAAACAATGATGATTTCTTCTTTAAATCACATCAGATTTCTTCTGTTCTCACCTTCTATTTAACACTCTCTTGTCTGTATATGTGTATGGATTCAATATGTGGAGGGAATTTGAGTGATGCTCTCCCTTGCATTTGTTTCTCACTTGAGTGTTTGGACGAATAACTTTGTATTTTGAGAGATCTGAGATTTTTCAACTTTTTTGTTATCACAGTTCAGTTTGTTGCATTTACAGTGTACAAGTTGGCAAAATTAAAGTCTAAATATGTAAAAATGTTTCTTATCTGCATGGTAGGCTTTTGAATTCCAGTTGAGTCCAAAGGATATGAAAGTACTTGATGGCCTAAACAGAAATCTGCGATACGTGGCTGCACCGATGTAAGTAACTTGCAACATGTTTTCCTCCATTTATTTCAAGAGTAATGCTTTTAAAGTTCTCTCAAATTCCATATTACACCTGTAAGAATGGCCAAGATCAAAAACACTGATGACAAATTATGCTGGAGAGGTTGTGGGGTAAAGGGAACACTCCTGCATTGCTGGTGGGAGTGTAAGCTAGTACAACCCCTTCGGATGTCAGTGTGGGAATTTCTCAGAAAATTAGGAAACAACCTTCCTCGGGAATCAATAATACCACTTTTGGGTACATATCAAAGATGCTCAATCATGCCACAAGGACATATGCTCAACTATGTTCATAGTAGCTTTGTTTGTCATAGCCAGAACCTGAAAACAACCTAAATGCTCCTTCACTGAAGAATGGATAAGGAAAATGTGGTACATTTACACAATGGAGTAAAAACAACAGAAAAAAAATAATGACATCTTGAATTTTTCGGGAAAATGGATGGAGCTAGAAAACATTATTTTGAGTGAGATAATGCAGACACAGAATCACATGTACTCACTCATAGGTAGTTTTTAAACATAAAGCAAAGAGACCCAGCCTACAATCCACAATCCCAGAGTACATAGACAACAATGAGGACAGTAAGAGAAACTTACATAGATCTAATCTACAAGGGAAGTAGAAAACTACAAGATCTCCTGAGTAAATTGGGAGCATGGGGACTTTGGGGGGATGGTTGAAGGGGGAAGGGGACAGACAGGGAGGGGAACAGAGAAAAATGTAGAGCTCAATAAAAATCTATAAAAAATGAAAATAATGACAAAAAAGCACAAATTTTTTCAAATAAGCTTTAAAGAAAAAAATTAAATTCTCTCAATAAATATAAAGAATGCAGAGACAATTAGAGCCCAGAATTTAGAAAATTACTTTTGGAATTCATTCTAATCTGTTCTGAATTCTGACTTCATTCACAGAAGCAGAGTAAGCCGACCCATGGTCCATTTAATTTGTTGTACCTGAAGACTTGTACAGTTTCAGAAAATGTGCAGGGCAAGCCTGCATCACTGCTGAATGCCCTGTCATGACGATAATCTGTATGCCCTGCAAACATGCACTTGGGACAGTTTGAGGAGCCCATTGAAACATTTCCAATATCAACATCATGCCAGCATGTCATTCTCTCCAGCAATTGATTAAATCCAAATCTTATTTAATATATGACCACCAACCTTGTAGTCTACGCATCACCTGCCTCTGAAATTGTTCACTGTGCTCAGGAACCTTAACGATTTTTAATAGTTTGAAAACCTTCATTTCTTTCTGATGTGCTTTTATTCAGGAGCTGAAAGTTTTATCATGAGAACTGCTGTTTTTTTTTATTTTTTTATTAAAAAATAAAAAAAAAATCTGTTGGGAAAAATTTTTTACATACCAATCCCAGTTCTCTCTCCACTCCCCTCCTCCCATTCCCTCCAATTTTCCCTACACAACCTACCTCAAGACCCAGCAATATCACTCGGGCATAATCCCCACGCACCACTCCCCTCCCCCTCCCTCTCCAGTCCAAAGAGCAGTCAGGGTTCCCTGTCCTGTGTGCAGTCCAAGGCCCCCCCCATCCAGGTCTAGGAAGGTGAGCATCCAAACAGGCTAGGCTCCCACAAAGCCAGAACATGAAGTAGGATCAAAACCCAGTGCCATTGTCCTTGGCTTCTCAGCAGCCCTCACTGTCTACCATATTCAGAGAGTCCGGTTTTATCCCATGCTTTTTCAGTCCCAGTCCAGCTGGCCTTGGTGAGTTCCCATTAGATCAACCCCACCGTCTCAGTGTGTGGGTGCACCCCTCGCGGTCTTGATTTCCTTGCTCATGTTCTCCCTCCTTCTGCTCCTCATTTGGACCTTTGGAGCAAGACAAGATGGATTATATATGAAGGAAAGTGTATTCATTCCTGTGGGGTAATTATTCAAGATTAATAATGTGATATTGTGTGAAAATTATAAGCACAATGAAAAAATTGCTTGTAATAACAATTCTAGATACAGTTTGTTTTTAATAGTATACTGAAAATGAATAAATTAGTGTGTATTACATAGAGACAGAACTATTATTTATGTTATTATCTTTGATGAGTAATCTTTTAACTCTTTAGAACTTGTGTGTTTATTTTGTTATTGTGATTTGTGGTTATTTTTTATGTGTAAGATTTTGTTTTGGGCAAATATTTTTAAATAATTACATTTATTAATTTGTTTGAAAGTGGGGGGAGTAAATAGGGATCCATAAGTTCTAACATTCTGTTCTATATGTCACATAATATATAGGTCATCAATTTGTAGCTCATTCCTTATCAAAATAAACAATCTCATCATTCCTCAACTACTTTTTACTATAGAGTATGTATCTTGGTTACATATTTTCAAAAGTGTAGTACATTTCTTCTTTCTTTGAGAATTTTTTAATATAATTTCTTTATTGATTATTTGAGAATTTAACGATATGCACCTCAATTCCTCTAATATCCCAGTCACCCTATATCGCCCTTTCAATCTTGCAGTGCCCACAAAATAAAATGTTTTCTTATTTTTCATTCCCTTTCATTCTGTGTGTTTTTTAATTGATTTTATTGAGCTCTACATTTTTCTCTGCTCTACTCCCTGCCTCTCCCCTCCCCTTCAATCCTCTTACATGGTCTCCATGCTCACAGTTTACTCAGGAGATCTTGTCTTTTTCTAATCCCATGTAAACTGTATCCATATATGTCTCCCTTAGTGTCCTCATTGTTGTCTAGATTCTCTGGGATTGTGATTTATGGGCTGGTTTTCATTGCTTTATGTTTAAAAACCACTTATGATTAAATAAATATGATTATTGTCTTTCTGGGTCTGGGTTACCTCACTCCATATTATGTTTTCTAGCTCCATTCATTTAGATGAAATTTCCAGATGTCATTATTTTTTTCTGCTCTGTAGTACTCCATTGTGTAAATGTACCATATTTTCTTTCTTTTTTTTTTCAGGGTGAGGTTGAAGTTTATTCAGGGGGTTATGGAGGAGGAAGGGTGAAGGGGGAGACAGAGAGAGAGAGAGAGAGAGAGAGAGAGAGAGAGAGAGAGAGAGAGAGAGAGAGAGAGAGGAGAAGAGGAGAAAGAGACAGAGAAGGGGGGAAGCAGAGAAGTGGGGAGAGAGGCAGAAGCGAAGCTGCCTCTCCGAGAGGAAGATGGAAAAGAGCTGTACCATATTTTCTTTATCCATTCTTCAATTGAGGGGCATTTAGATTGCTTCCAGGTTCTGCCTATGACAAACAATGCTTCTATGAACATAGTTGAGCACATATCCTTGTGGTACGATTGAGCATCCTTTGAATATATACCCAAAAGAGGTATTGCTGTGTCTGGAGGAAGGTTGTTTCCTAATTTTCTGAGAAATCACCATACTGATATCCAATGGGGGCTGCACTAGCTTACACTCCCACCAGCAACACAGGAGTGTTCCCTTTACCTAACAACCTCTCCAACATAAGTTGTCATCTATGTTTTTGATCTTGGTCATTCTTGCAAGTCTAAGATAGAATCACAGAGTTGTTTTGATTTGCATTTCTCTGATAACTAAGATTGTTGAGCATTTTCTTAAATGTCTTTGAGCCATTTTAGATTCCTCTGTTGACAGTTCTCTGCTTACATCTGTACTCCACTTCTTTTACTGGATTATTTGTTCTTTTAATGACCAATTTCTTGAGTTCTCTATATACTTTGAGGTTTAAACCTCTGTCTGATATGGGGTAGGAAAAAAAAATCTTTTCCCATTCTGTAGGTTGTCATTTTGTCTTGTTGAACATGTCTTTGCCTTACAGAAACTTTTCAGTTTTAGGAGGCCCCATTTTTAAGTGTTTCTCTCAGGGTCTGTGCTAATGGGGTTATATTTAGAAAGTTCTCTCTTGTGCCAATGCATTCAAGTGTACTTCCTACTTTTTCTTCTATGAGGTTCAGTGTGGCTGGCTTTCTGTTGATGTCTTTGATCCATTTGGACTTGAGTTTTGTGTGTGGTGATAAATATGGATTAATTTTCATTCTTCTACATGTTGATATCCAGTTATGCCAGCACAATTTGTTACATATATGTTCTTTTTTCCATTTGATATTTTGTGCTTCTTTGTCAAAAATCAGGTGTTTGAAGGAGTGTGGATTAATACTCGGGTCTTTGATTCCGTTCCATTGGTCCTTCTGTCTGTTTTTATACCAACACCAAGCTGTTTTCAGTACTGTAGGTCTGTATTAGAGTTTGAAGTGAGGGATTGTGATGCCTTCAGACGTTCTTTTATTGTACAGAATTGTTTTGGTTATCCTGGGCATTCTGCTATTCCATATGAAATTGAGTACCATTCCTTCGAGGTCTGTGAAGAATTTTGATGGGCATTGCACTGAATCTATAGATTGCTTTTTGGTAAAATTGCCATTTTTACAATGTTAATTATACCTACCCAAGAGCATGGGAGATCTTTCCACTTTCTGATGTCTTCTTCAATTTCTTTCTTCAAAGATTTAAAATTCTTGTCATACAAGTCTTCCACTTGTTTGGTTAGAGTTATTCCGAGATATTTTATTCTATTTGTGGCTATGGTGAAGTGTGATATTTCTCTGATTTCTTTCTCAGCCCATTTATCATCTGTGTACTGGAAGGCTACTGATTTTTTTGAGTTAATCTTGTATCCTGCTACATTACTGAAAGTGCTTATGAGTTGTAGTAGTTCCTTGGTAGAATTTTTAGGGTCACTTATGTAAACTATCATATCATCAGCAAATAGTAAGAATTTGACTTCTTCTTCTCTGATTTGCATCCCCTTAATCTCCTTTTGTTCTCTTATTGCTCTAGCTAGGACCTCAATAAATATATTGGATATATATGGAGAGAGTGGACAATTGTCTTATTTCTGATTTCAGTGGGATCGTTGGGAGTTTCTCTCCATTTAGTTTGATGTTGGCTGTTGGCTTCCTGTATATTGCCTTTATTTTGTTTAGGTATGTTCCTTGTATCCCTGCTCTCTCCAAGACCTTTATCATGAAGGGATGTTATATTTTGTTGAAAGCTTTTTTGGTATCTAATGAGATGATCATGTGGATTTTATTTTTTAGTGTATTTATATGGTAGATTACATTGACAGATTTTTCTATGTTGAACCATTCCTGCATGTCTGGGACGAAGCCAAATTAATCATGGTAGATGATGGCTCTGATGTGTTCTTGGATTCGATTTGCCAGTATTTTATTTAGTATATTTGCATCACTGTTCATGGTAATATTGGTCTGTAATTCTCTTTCTTGGTAATTTCTTTGTGTGGCTTGCATATCTGGGTAATTATAGCCTCATAAGATGAGTTTGACAATGTTCCTTCTGTTTCTATTGTATGGAACAATTTGAGGAGTATTGGTACTAGTTCTTTATTGAAAATCTTGTAGAATTCTGAGCTGAAACCATCTGGTCCTGGACTTTTTTTTGTTAGGAGACTTTTGATGACTGTTTCTATTTCTTTAGCAGTTATAGGTCTGTTTAATTTATTTATATGGTATTGATTTCATTTTGGTAAGTAATATTTATCCAGAAATGTATCTATTTCCTAAAAGTTATCCAATTTTGTGGAGTATAGGTTTTTGAAATATGAGCTGATGTTTCTCTGTATTTTCTAAGTGTCTGTTGTTATATCCCATGTTTCATTTCTGATATTGTTCATTTGGATATTTTCTCTCTGCCTTTTGGTTACTTTTGATAAAGGTTAGTCTACTCTGTTGATTCTTTCAAAGAACCAATTCTTTGTCTCATTGATTCTTTGCATTGCTTTCTTTCTTTCTATTTTGTTGATTTCAGCTCTCAATTTGACTGTTTCCTGGCATCTAGTTCTATTGTGTGAGTTTGCTTGTTTTTGTTCTAAAGTTTCAAATGTTCTCTTAATTCACCAGTGTGGAATTTTTCCAGCTTCTTTATGTATGCATTTAGTGCTATAAACTTTCCTCTTAACACTGTTTTCATTGTGTCCCATAAATTTGGGTATTTTGTGTGGTCATTTTCATTGAATTTTAGGAAGTCTTTAAGTTATTCATTTATTACTTCCTTGACCCATTGATGCTTCAGGTGAGCATTGTTTAATTTCCATGTGTTTGAGGGCTTTGTGGAATTAGTGTTGTTGTTGATTTATAATATTAAGCCATTGTGATCTGATAAGATACATGGGGTTATTCAATTTTTGTTTTGTATCTGTTCTGGTTTGTTTTGTTACCAAGTATGTGGTCAATTTTTGAAAAGACGGTATGAGGTGCTAAGAAGAAGGTATATGTTGGAGAAGGTGCTTGTTCATACTGGCTGCCTAGAACCAAAATAACCATACAGAAACTGTATTAATTAAAACACTACTTCTAACTTCTAATTGGCCAACTCATATGAATTTAACCCATTTGTATTAATTCGTGTACTGCCACAAGACTGTGGCTTACCAGCTAAAGTTCCCAGTGTCTGTCTCAGGCTGCGGATCCATGGCTTCTCCCTCTCTGCATTCCTTCTCACAGCATTCAGTCCAGTTTACTCAACCTACCTAAGTTCTACCCTATCAACAGTCCAAGGCAGTCTTTATTCAGTAACCAATAAGAACAACACATAAACATAAGGACCTCCTACACCAGTTACATTCTTTTTTGTTTGGATGGAATATAACATAGATGTCTATTAAGTCCATTTGAGTTATAACATCTGTTAATTCCTATATTTTCCTCTAATTTTTTGTCTGATTGACCTGTTTAGTGGTGAGAGTGGAATATTGAAGTCTCCCACTATTAGTGTGTAGGGTTTAATGTATGATTTAAGCTTCAGAAGTATTTCTTTTACATATGATGAAGCCCATGTACTTGGGGCATAAAGGTTCAGTTTTGAGATTTCCTCTTTATGGATTTTTCCTGTGAAGATATGAAATATCATTCTTCTTTTTCTTTTTTTTGATTGATGTTAGTTTAAAGTCTATTGTGTTAGATATTAGGAGAGCTGCACCAGCTAGTTTCTTAGGTCCATTTGATTGGAAATTTTTTTTTCCCAACCCTTTACTTTGAGGTGATGTCTGTCTCTGAGGTTGAGGTGTATTTCTTGTATGCAGCAAAAGGATGGATTATGTTTTCATATCAAATCTGTTAGCCTGCGTCTCTTTATAGGTGAGCTGAATCAATTCATATTAAGGGATATTAATGACCAGTGATTGCCATCTCCTGTTAATTTAGTTTTCCTTATTGGTGATATTATTTTGTATGTTTTTTTTCCCTTTGGAATTTTCTGCTATGAGATCATCAATTCAATTGTCTCTGTTTTTGTGGGTGTAGCCAACTCCCTTGGGTTGGAGTTTTCTTTATAGTACTTTGTGTAGGTTGGGTTTGTGGCAAGATATTGGGTAAATATGGTTCTGCCATGGAATATCTTGTTTTGTACTTCTATGGTGATTGAAAGTTTTCCTGGGTATGATAGGCTGAACTTCCATCCATAGTCTTTAAGTGTCTGAATAATGCTTGAACAGGAACAGGATTTATTGGCTTTCATTGTGTCCATTGAGAAATCAGGTGTAAATCTGATATGTCTGCCTTTTTATGTTACTTGGCCTTTTAACTTTGCAGCTTTTAATATTCTTTCCATATTCTGTATGTTTAGTGTTTTGATTATTATGTGGTAATGGGACTTTTTTGTTTTGATCCAGTCTATTTGGTGTTCTGTAAGCTTCTTATATCTTCACAGGCATATTTTTCTTAAGGTTGAGAAAGTTTTCTTCTATGATTTTGTTAAATATATTTTCTGTGCTTTTGAGTTGAACTTTTTCTTCTATATCTATTATTCTTAGGATTGGTCTTTTCATGGTGTCCCATATTTCCTGGATATTTTGTGTTAAGCTTTTGTTATATTTAATGTTTTCTTTGACTGATGAGTCTATTTCTTCTATTGTATCCTCAGTGCTTGAAATTCTCTCTTCCATCTCTTGTATTCTGCTCTTTATGTTTGTATTTGTGGTTCCTGATTATTTTCTCATGATTTCTGTTTCTATATTCCCTTGGTTTACTTTTTCTTTATTGTCTCTATTTCAGTTTTCAAGTCTTGAATAGTTTCTTTAATATGTTTGATTGCTTTTTCTTGGTTTTCTTTAAAGGATTTGCTGATGTCTTCCAATTTTTTGTCCTTTCCTTCATTTCTTTGAGGGAATTGCTCATTTCCTCTTTGAGAGTCTCAAGCATTCTCCTGAAGTTAATTTTTTGGATCATATTCTTCTGCTAGAACTATATTTCCTTGTCCAAGTGTTGCTGTTGTGGGGTCACTATATTTTACTGGTGCCATGTTGTTCTCCTTTGAAACCTGTGGTCCTCACAGTCCATCAAATCACCTTGAGCAGCACTGTCTTTCATGCTTCTATGAGTATCAATCATTGAGTAGTGCTCAAAGAATTTCATTTATTTCCTAACCCAAACTCTTAAAGTCCATATTACTCCAAACAAAAACCATCTCCTAGTATATCATAGCAATATTCCACTCCTGCTACCAACTTAGTTTGGGTTGTTATTTCTGTAACAATAAGACAATATTTAATTGAGGGGGTGATTTACACTTTTAGAGGTTCAGTCTAGTATCATCATGACAGGAGCATGGTGGCATACATGCAGATATAGTACTGGAGCTGAGCACAGGACATCAACTATGACTGAGCAGTATCCTCAGCATAGGAAACCACAAAGCCTGCCACTACAGTGACACTCTTCCTCCATAGATTTGTACCCATAGGACAAAGACATGCATCCTAATAGTATCACTCCCTTTATAATTATGGGGCCAAGTACATTCAAACTACTACCATCTTCAATACCGCTTCATTTGTTATGGGCCATTATGAGCAATTTATCACATAGTATACCCCTTTGTCCAATCAGCTTTGCTAACAAATGTTTATTGCAATGAGTCATTGGTCTGGTTCAAGGCCTCTGTTTCTAGCACACCATCTCACTGGATCCTCACTGAAACTTCTCTGGGATATCCTGAGGCTACTCTGAACCATGGAAATCCCATTTGGCCCATGGAGCCTGGACTGACCAATTTAGCTACCACCCAGATCCACATATTCAGGCCTTGGGTTGGCCTACTCTAACATCTATACCATCTAGGACCTGTTGTAAGTAATGAAGAGACTGGTCCTGACAAATGGTACCTTCTGAATCTCCTTGACAGATGTNATGGGTATATATATATATATATGTGTGTGTGTGTGTGTGTGTGTGTGTGTGTGTGTGTATAATTTCTTGTTTGTTATTTAACTTTTTTTAATCATATGGGTTTGGCTATGTGAATATCTGTGTATCACATGTATTCCTGGAAGCATATACACCAGAGGAGGCATAGGTTTCCCCGAAACTTGAGTTAAAATGTTTGTGAGCCAGCTTTTGGATGCTGTGACTAGAACCTGATTTTTTTTTTTTTTTTTGAAGAATAGCCAGTGTTTTCAATGGCTGACTCTTCTTTCTTAGGCCCTATTTCCTTTTGTTGATAGATACATGTTTGAGCATTTGATTCTTCCTTTTCTCTATGTTCAGTATTAGAGAAAACAGGAAAAACTGAACCATTCATTTATTGTTTGCTTTTCAAGTAGAAAGAAGTGTTATTTAAAGTAAGAAAAGAAGATTGTATGCGTTGGGAAAAGAAAATTATATACTTTCATATTAAAATCCGCTTCATAGAAATCACTTCTCAAAACAGAATTTTTAATTGTACTATCAAATTTCTTTGTCTTTGCAGGTTTGAGGGCCACCCTAATTTTCCATTTTCTGATGAATACTAACATGTGTGGATGTTTTTTGGAAGTTGCACTGGTGGAAGACTGCTCAGGTTGATGTCTGGACTTGTCATTTCTACTCTGTAGAAATTCAGAACCTCCTGGAACTACGCATCATCTAATAGAGAAAAAAAAAATGAAAGAAAAATATTATCCCATTCTGAAACTCCCAAAAGTCATATTCTTCAACAATTTTCAGGGTCATTTTACTACTTTAAAGGCTTATTTTCCTATGATTCATGATGTCTCAAAATTAATTCTAAATACTAAAAAAAATAAAATAAAATAAATAAAATGAGAAAAAAGTAGAGGGGATATGGGAACAATTGAGAGAGTGGAAAAACATGATCAAAATATAATGTATGAAAAATAAAAACAAACAAACAAAAAATTTAATTTGTCTAAATGTCTATGTGCATTCTGGGGTAAATGAAAACTCTCATTTTACAGACAGTTTTTAATGAGAATAGATAGTTTTTTCATTCTTTAAGGAGTAACAGTTAGCAGGTATGTTTCTCTTTATCCCAAATGGAAAATGTGTATCATGTGATCAGAAAGCTGAGGCATAATTGAGAAATTTGAACAATGAACCCAGTTCTACATAAAGGCTTATGGGTATAGAAAATCCAAAGTAAATAGAATGGGATTTATCTCATGAGAATGGTCATAGTAGAGTGAAAATTTTGAGCTGCAATATAGGTAGTGAGAATTGAATATGGTTCCTTTTGAAGAGCAGCCAGTGCTCTTAAACATTGGGCCATCTCTCTAGCTCCTATAGATTTAATTATTTTTATAATAAGTGTTTAGAAACACACTTTAAAAACCATTACTTCTTTTTGTTTAGAATAATTGACAATTTTATGTCTGGATGAACATAAAAATAATAATTTTCAAAGCCCAATATCCAAGATACCCTTTTCTGGATACTGTGTGTACCCACACTCATACATAAATATCCCTACACATGAAAACACACTTGTACACATAATTTGAAAAAAGTCAGAATCAGAACTTAACATGTTAAAGTGATAGACATCAAGAAACCCAGACACGCCTCTTGCTTGACTAGAGGTCATGCTATCTGCCAAAATGTCAAGTAGGCTGAATGTCAGGGATCCCCCTTACTTTCTCAGTACCCCCACTCCAGTTCCCCACCCTCCTCATCACTTTGTCAAGTCCCAAGTATAGAGAACTCCTGCTTGATCAGAAGTCACCACAGTCACCAGAAATCCAGCTCCCAACTTGGGTGGTGATTGCCTGCTCAATTATAGTCTATTCCAGTAAAAAAATCAGAGAAGAAAGAGGAAACTGTTGTAAGATGTTTTATTAAAATGTGAAACACAGGACTGTGTTAAGAAAATCAGCCTTGGATCAGTGGGCAGGTGCAACAGCTAGTTGACAGGAATTAACCATAGAGGGTATGGAGGATACAGGAAAACAGGTAGAGAAAACTACAGGAAGAAGTTGGGGAGGAACCTGGAGTTTCATGATCTTTTCTGTTTGAGATGGCTGGAGCAACACTCACTTGCTGGGTCTCTGGCCAAAAAGGAAGGCCAGCTGGTTGCTCTTCTGCCTCTGTGAGCTAGCAGGTCTTTATCTCAATTCTCATCCCAGGTTTGTGGTCAAACACAATGATAGAGACTTGGTGGAAAACTTCCTTTGGCAGCAGTACCAGAGCCAAGGCTGGGCAAAGGAGAGGGGACTAGAAATCCCAGAAGAGTGTGGCCTGGGTGGCAGGGTACAGACTGTGGAGACATAGGTTCCCAGAGAGTACTTAGCATATAAGTCGATTCAGATTCAGCCACTATGCTGATAGAAGAAGATCTGAAAGCAGAAACAAAACACGCATGGAGCACAGACAAACTCAGAATTCAGCACCTAGACCTGTAACCACCCCGAACCCAGATTTCTAGGTGCTAGTATAATATCATCAAGAATAGCCAGATCAATATGTCACCACCAGAGGACAGCTATCCTAATACAGCAAGCCCTGAATATTCCAAAACAACTGACATGCAAGAAAACAACCTGAGTACCAACTTTATGGAGATGATAGTGGAGGGACAATTAAAAATGAATAAATCCCTTAAAGAATTAGAGGAAAATCCAGCCAAAAAAGTGGCAAGAAATCAATAAATTTCTTAAAGAAAGTCAAGAAAAATAAAATAAAAAACCAAATATCAAGCAAACGATTGAAGGAAATAAATTGTTTAAGTACTGAAAATGGAAAAAGAATAAAATAGGAAAACACACTGAAGGTATTCTGGAAATGAAAAAATCTAGGCAAGGAGACAGTAACTATAGAATCGAGGACACTAACAATACAAGAGACGGAGGAGAGAATCTTAGGGGTTGAAGATATTATAGAAGAAATATATACATCAGTCAAAAAAATGTTAAAAGTAAAAAAAATTCTAAAATCTAAAGAGAAAAATAAAAACACAAGAAATCAGAGACATTGTGAAAATACCAAGCATTATAATAATAGGAACTGAAGTAGAAGAATAATCCCAACTTAAAAACCCTGGAAATATTAGCTACAAAATTATACAAGTAAATTTTCCTAACTTAAAGAAGGACATACCTATAAAGATACAAGAAGCTTACAGAACATCAAATAAATTAGAAGAAGAAAAAAGTCCCCTGGTGATGTAATAATCAAAACACAAAGCATGCAGTACAAAGGAATTTTTAAAAGCTGCAAGAGCAAAAGGCCAAATAACACATAAAAGCTGACCTATTATAACTACACATGACTTCTTAATGGAGACTTTAAAAGATAGAACAGCCTGCACAGATATCTTGGAGACTTTAATGCCAACCCAGACTAATATATCCAGAAAAACTTTCAATCAGCATAGAGGGAAAAAAAAAAAAACAAGATATTCCATGATCAAGTCAAATTTGAACACTACCTACAAATCCGGCACTACAGAAGGTCCTACAAAAAAAATTTAACCCAAGGACTTTAACTTTGCCCAAGAAAATACAAGAAATAAATAATTTTGCACCAGCAAAACAAACGGAAAAGTAGAATGCACTCACATACATGCACACGCACATGCGTGCATGCACACATACACACACATACAGACACACTGTCACCACTACCAACAATGAAATAGCAGGAATTAGCATGCATTGGTAATTGATATCTCTCAATATCAAAGCATTCAATTTCCCAATAAAAACAGATAGGATTACAGAATGGATGAGTAAACAGGATCCAACCTTCAGCTGCATATAAGAAACACACAAAATCATCAAAGATAGATATTATCTTAGAGTAAATGGTTAGAAACATATTTTAAAAGAAAATAGACCTATGAAGCAAACTGGGGCAACTATTCAAATTTTCAAAATGAAAACCTCAAACCAAAATTAATCAAAAGAGATGAGTAACAACAATTTATAAAAAACAGGCTTTTGCATGAGTTAAATTTGAGAACTGTTCATTTTTAAAGAAATAAGTTTAAGATTTTAAGATTATTTCTCAGACAGCTAGAGGAACACAGTATGATACTCTTTTTTGTATGCTATATCTATATTGACATATTATTTCAGTGAGCCCCTGGCACATTACAGCAATGGTTCATACTTGCTGATATGTGTTGAGAATGTGGTCAGCATTGAATAAAATGTGTGTGTGTGTGTGTGTGACCCACACACCTATTTTTTGAGCATGTCAGCTTTTATGAGTGCTCAGAAAGATAGTAGTATAGTCGAGGCCAAGATTATGGATGAACAAGCAGGGGTGTGTCTGCATTGATGTCTTAGCTGGTTGTAAAATAGCTGAAAATCAGACCTAGGACCAGTGTGGCTCATGGTACATGGTCTAAACACAATGTTGATTCTCTTTAGTTTTGGCCTTGGCATTCTTCTTTATGTCCAGGGCTTATTGGAAGAGAATAAATATGAGCCAATTGTTCCAAGGCTCTGTTTGATCTAGGCCTGGGATACCTCTGGTTGTGATATACCATAGGCACAATCCTTTTTGTTTGGTTCTCCTGGCCTTTGTTCATTTTGTATTTTCCCACAGGTCTTTATGCTCTGGGCCCATAATTGTTGAGGGTCAGTATATCTCCAGGCACACATCTCTTCTTCTTTGGGCCTGAGCCTCTTTGCATTCATAGATAGGCCCTCACCCCCATCTCATCTTGCTTTAGGCCCTGGACTCTGCAGCATAAGGTGTAGACACAGATCCACAGCTCTTTTGGGGACCAGGAATCTTTAGTGTTACAGATGGGCCCAGGCCCAGACCTCTCCTTTTATTTGGGCCTAAGCCTCTTGAGTATTAGGGATTCACCCAAGCCCACATCTCTATTATTTTAGGACTGGGACTCTTCATGTTTAGCAATATGCCCTGGCCCATTTAACTTCTTTTTGGTTTCAGGCCTCTTCAGGGAAAAGAGTAGGCCCAGTTCCACATTTCTCCTTTACTCAGGGAGTCCTGGTCCAGAGATGCCTGTGCAGCTTCCTTACAAGGCCCCTCTCTCTGGTGAGATGAGGGTTTCTTTCCCTGTGGTCTTTAGGGGCTAGAACCACTGCTATGAGACTTCTCATCCTTGCTCTTTCATGTCCTGCATAGAATGAACTGTCCTCAGGCAGAAACATTTCCGGTCCCTTGCTCTGTTTAGTCTCCATATTAAAGGTTCTGATGAAAAAGTGCCTCACACTGAGTGAGTCACTCATGTACTGAATTTCAGGTATTGTCCCTCCCATAAAACAGCCCAAACTTACCCAGACACATGGGCTGTCTTTGAGTCCCAACCCTTCTTGGTGGACACTATGTAGTCCTCAGGCAAAGAACACTGCTGTTTCTAGGGCAGGGATTTACCTGTGAACCTGTTACATCACAGAAGGTTCACCTCACTTCATTCTGGGAATCCCAAAGGCATCATGGCTCATGATCATGAAGAGTTCTGGATGTCATCTGGAGATAGTGGGAAGTCAGAGCGTCTGATGGAAGGGCAGGCTGTTACAGAAGGTGAAGGAGTGGCCATTGC